ATTTAGTGGACAATATGAAATCAATGAACAACTTATCCACCTTGCAGTTGGCCCGATCTTTGAAGTGAATGTTTATAATGGGTTCTATGTGAACGGCTTTAAATTTTTTATTGAAGAGTTTACTAGTACTAGAAAGACATATAACTGTGGTGTTTGTGTTAAAGGAACCACCATTAATTATGCAGATGAAACTGATTATTATGGTGTCTTAAAAGAGGTGATCGAGGTATTGTATTATGGACACTCAGGCCATCAAGAGACTATAATATTGTTTAATTGTGATTGGTATGACACGAACCGAGGAATACGTGTCAATGTTGAACACGGAATTGTTGATGTCAATCCAAGGTTTAAACTTTCAACGGGGGAGCCATTTTGCCTTACTAGTCAAGCACAACAAGCTTATTATACTCCATATCCGGCAACCACGGATAGAACTACCCGGGGATGGTTGGCAGCATGTAAAATCAAATCTAGACATCTAATTGAGACCTCATCTACCTCATCTTCAGGAGAGGTTGATGATATTTTTCAAGATGATGACCCCTCCATAATGCAAGGCTCTTCATTAGCTATAGATTTAATTGCATACCAATCACTTCAACTATGTGCAGAAGGTGTTACAGAAGTTGAGGTTGATGCTAATACATCTGAAGAAGAGGAGGACTATGGAGAAGAAAAAGATTCAGAATCCTTAGGAAATAGTGATAATGTTGAGGATGGTGATGATAGCGATGATAGTAATGATTAATTGAAACATCTGTATTATTACTTATTAAATATATGTATTAAAATTTCTTTGTCTTACATATATTGTTTTATTAAGTTATATATTTTTCATTTAAAATAGAATCATTGTATGATTGTTCTAAATTTATTACTTATTATTTGTATAAATGTATTAATAACTATTTTGTTATTCATTTTTCAAGATGTCTGGAAATTCTGCAAGTTTAGCAAGGAGGAGATCTTCCTCCTCAGGATCACAAGAGCAACACAATTTTAATCACCCACAGCTGTTTACTGATAGTAGCGTAGCTCCGGATATATAGTAAACGATTGATCCATTAATGAATTATAATTTTGCACCTGATCATGAGAACGAGGGCCCTTCATCCTCGATGGGGAAAAAAGGACGAAGCAAGAATTTCAAAGGAATACGCCCTCCAGAAAATAAAGAGAGCAGGAAATGGGTTAAACTCATTGATGATAAGCTCCAGTTTGTTGATCCAAACATCCCTCGGGCTATCACTTCACTATGGAAGTCACGTTTTAATGGCCTGTATTTCACATACGAGCGTGTCCCCCAGAGCAAGATTGCCGAAATTTATAATTGTTTCAAGGTAAGATTAAGTTTTAGCAAATTTAATAAAATGAATGGATTTAGCAATTTCTAATAAAAATAAATAATTTCATTACTAAA